AGGGGCTGATATGTAGGGGTAATATTACAAATATATCTAATTAGAGATTTGTGTACCGTTTCGCTTAAGATCTGACACGTGTGCACTCAAACACGCCTGCAAAATGATATTTTTGGAAATTTTAAAGAATCTTCGATGGGGAAAATCAAAAGATTTTACATGCAGTTTTGCCTGTGCATTACACTTGACGTTCGCTCTGCATACGCTCGACCGCGCATTAAGCTTAAAGTTGTCTTTTAGTACGCTTACGTTGTCTTTTAGTACGCGTACGTTGTTGTGCAATACGCTTGACGTCGGCGGTGTGTATTGTACGCCTGACTTTGGCGATGTTGTACGCTTGACGTCGGCGGTGTGTATTGTACGCCTGACTTTGGCGATGTTGTACGCTTGACGTTGGTCGCACAGTGGGTTGGATAACGCTGACCTGCAGTACGCTTGACATTGTCTTTTAGGTGTTTGTACAAAAGGCTAGATAACGTTGACGTACAGTACGCTTGACGTTAACGATGTACGCTGGCATTGTAATAGGATAACGTTGCCGTTTAGTACGCATGACGTTGGTTGTACAGTAGGCTGGATGACGCTGACGTACATTACACTTGACTTCAGTGGTATGATACGTTTGAAAGTACCGCGTCCAGTACGTCGTTATATCCATCAGTTCCTTATATCCATCAGTTCGTTATATCCGTCAGTTCGTTATATCAGCCAGTCCGGTATATCCGTCAGTTCGTTATCTCCGTCAGTTAGTTATATATCCGCCAGTCCGTTATATCCGTCAGTTTGTTATATCCGTCAGTTCGTTATATCCATCAGTTCGTTATATCCGTCAGGTCGTTATAACCATCAGTTCGTTATATCCGTCAGTCCGTTATATCCGCCAGTCCGGTATATCCGTCAGGTCGTTATAACCATCAGTTCGTTATATCCGTCAGTCCGTTATATCCGCCAGTCCGGTATATCCGTCTGTCCGTTATATCCGTCAGTCCGTCATATCCATCCGTTCGTTATATCCGTCAGTCCGTTATATCCGCCAGTTCGTTATATCCGTCAGTTCGTTATATCCGTCAGGTCTTTATATCCGTCAGTTTGTTACATCCGTCAGTTCGTTATATCCGTCAGTTCCTTATATCCGTCAGTTTGTTATATCCGTCAGTTCGTTATATCCGTCAGTTCTTTATATCCGTCAGTTCGTTATATCCATCAGTTCGTTATATCCATCAGTTCGTTATATCCATCAGTTCGTTATAAGCGTGTTTGTTCTAAACGTAGTTTACTGCATTCAATATTATTTTATGTTTATGGATTTATCGGCAGTCTTATTATTCTTTAACGCCACAGTTAACATTTGTTAGGCCACATCACGCCCCTTGTCAAAAACTGACTTGGACCAGACATTCCAGTGATAAAAGCACGTCCCTCGATCTGGAGGCACGATGACCTACTATGAGCCAATTCACAGAGGCGAATCTACAGGTCCAATCTAGTCGACTCTTACGACCTGCCATAAAGTAGAAAGGATTGATTGTAACCCTGGTCCCCCCGGAGTTTATGAGTCACAGCTTCAGAATGGGTAATCACCATAACAAAGTTGAGTCACTGGTGGTGTGAAAGCTAACATTCTTTGCCAGATTTTAAAACGAATCATTTAAAAAACGAAGATTACAAACAAAAAAAAAAATAAAAACACGTCAAGCTCTACAACAAAACCGATCAACATAAGTCGCATATGATACACAATGCAAATTACAAACAATCTCCCTTACGTTGTTTAAGTACGCTTAAAAGCAAGAGAACACCAAAACTCATTGTACTTAACTATTAAGTAATGTTTCTGTGGATATTTAAAGCAGAAATGTATCATTCAGCATAACTGTCCGAATGTGGTGATATCACATGTGGATTAGATATGATCAGTTAATCAAGTGGTTTCATTTTCGGACTAAATGTTTCCTCAGTGCCCGCACAGCATAATTTGCGTTTTCACCGACCCTGGGACCCCCATCTGAAGCCCAGACCCCCACCCCATACAGTCTGCCACGTGCACATGGTCATTACCACCTGGAGGACAACGCGTTACGTCATTCAACTTGTAGTACTTTTCCACAGGGAACATCGTTAGTGTGGCTATTCTTGATGAAACCTGTGGCTATTCTTGATGAAATATTACCCATCCCTAAGTACTTATATTTATTATGCTTGCTTGGTATATTCCTAGTTGTTGCCGTTCTGGATTGTTACTGGTATCCTGTTAAATACGAGATAAACATAAATGTTACGATGAATGAAATAATAAGATTTGCTCCTTTTGTTGAATGCATACGCATTTCAAGCGCAGGTGGTGGTTTAATAATACGTTGCTTGAGTACATGTGTGGAGATGTCCTTGTTGGGTAGAGCCGATACAGTCAGGATTGCGTGACGTGTATAATGCGTCCGTTTAGTATCGATGTTACTGAATCAGTGCTGTTATGCACGTACAACATTTACTTACTATAGTTACTGTTATCGATTTTAGTTCTATGTACAACAGTATGTGACGGTCCTATTGCTGTTTCGATATTCTACTTCAACTTGCAATTTCCTCACTGGCATAATATTTGCGATAATCAAACTATGAAACTATGAAACTATATCTCAGATAATGAGGCTAAAAATTTTAAGTGTCTCATCGACCTTCAGATCGTCAGTTCAAACAGACCACTCCGATAACATGGAGTCATTAACCTGATGTACGCTTGTATAATGACGAAATGACATACATACTATCTCAAATATATGTATGTATGCATGTATGTATGTATGCATGTATGTGTGTGTGTGTGTGTGTGTGTGTGTGTGTGTGTGTGTGTGTGTGTGTGTGTGTGTGTGTGTGTGTGTGTGTGTGTGTGTGTGTGTGTGTGTGTGTGTGTGTATGTATCTAAGTACGTATGTATGTAATGTCCAATCTCACTGGTGCTGCCCACTGTGATATTGTTGGAATATTGCTAAAAGCGGCGTAAACTACTCTCTCTCTCTCTCTCTCTCTCTCTCTCTCTCTCTCTCTCTCTCTCTCTCTCTCTCTCTCTCTCTCTCTCTCTCTCTCTCTCTCTCTCTCTCTCTCTCTCTCTCTCTCTCTCTCTCTCTCTCTCTCTCTCTCTCTCTCTCTCATTATTGCATCATACCAGGACACTGTGACATCAGCTGGGTAGCGTTTTGTCTTCAATGAGTCACGCCGCACCTTGTGAACACGCCACATTGACAATCTGTTGTTGGCGTAGCGTGTGACACGATTAGGTTGTCGGTCACGTGACTTTCCCAGCTGCAAACTATGCATATACCTGTACATCATCAATCATTTCGTAATTATCGATGGCAGTTAAATGTTTTTCTGGTCCTAGTGTGGTCTTTATGTTCTTGCCAAAACCATTACATATTTACATTCTAGTTCAAGTTAAGGCGATGTAGCTTGGAGTTAGCGTATGCCTGAAGTTGGGCTTTATAATATAGACAGAAGCGGGTTTTCATTTGAATACGGAAAAGGTAAAGGTTTTTTTCAAATCAGATTCAACATACACATTATTGTGTAATGGTAACTAAACTATTCTTGTTTAACGTTATTAATTCAAGAACAGGACATTTGTGAGGTATACGTCTTGACCATGCATTTTGGTATGGTCGTCAACTATTTCATATTAGAACGAAAATTCAGTGCGACGAAGAGAATTGTGAATGGGATACGTGAAGATCTGGGTGAGAAGAGCAGGTGGCAAGGCTCACACAGACTTGGTCGCTATATGTCATCGTGTTTCCGTTGTATTGATGTCAATCACTGGAATATCTGGCCCAGATATTTCATAGACCATCGTCAAATACCTCAAATATGTGAGCGTTGCGTTAATCAACAAAGCAAAGTTTTGCAAAAGGTAGTCAGCCCCAAAACACAAACAAGATATTTGGCTGACAACGATAATATTGTTCATGAGGCGTTCTAAGAAGTTACTTGTATTTGCCAATCACTCGATTATCTAGTCCAGACTCGATTATCTATAGACTACCGTCTATAAATTATTTGTATTTGCCTATGAAAGATAGATATGATACTTATAATAAAAATATGCATGTAGGTGTCGAATTCTATATTTCGCTAAGTATGCAACTGTCTACAAAACGTTAAAAATGTCTTACGACATTAAACTTCGACAAAACGACATGAAGGTGTATGTGTGTGTGGGGGGAGGTGTGGTGGATTTTGCAACTGAAATTTGAAAGGGGTCCAGTGAGATAGGAGTTTATGTAACTGAACCTATGGTAAATCTGGACTTGCTGTCTTTAGAGAAACAGCATTCAAGTATGGAATGGACCGAAGGGAATACAATATTGTTCCAGGGATGTGAGACTGACTGGGCGCATTCTTCAACATACACACAGGTTATTCCTTTGGGTTCGCATCCGTGTCAGGTTCAGTTTACCTGTTTCACAAATGGACCCTTTATAGTTCCTCTTTGCGTCAGTACTAGACTAACGCTTAGTCTCTGAATATATATAATTTTGATAGTAACAAATACACCCATTATTTAGCATTGCATGGAGAGTAGGGAAAATAATGTGGTTCATGGACTGTGAGACAGACTACGTCAGTATTTGTGAAAGTTAAGGTGTACTCACTAAAATGTCAAATGTATCAACACCATACTCGAGACTATACATACAGGCACTTCCGGGGCATGACACACTTCCTGTTTCAGCGAAAGGTCACCTGAACGATATATTTCTTAATACATTTATAAAGATAAGAGGATTTAAATAATTAATTTAAATTATCACATTGTAAGCGTTTTTCAATACAAACATGTGATTAATTAAACGGTCTACGTGCAGTATACGCTCAGCTGATAACAAGCACCAGTCCCCCGATAAGTGCCGATTTCGTGGTACTCGTTTTCTTCAGCCAATCAAAAACCTCCGTCGCACGTAGTGCGGTAACCAGGCAACCTGTATATAAGGAAGACGGCACCGAGGTTTTAGGCAGAGATTTTCTGGACTAGCTTCGTACCGACCTCTCTCAAACTCTCGCCATGGCTTCTCTTGACGAACTCTGGGGTAAACTCAGTGGGTCTGCTGACTGCAAATCCCTTCTGAAAAAACATCTAACCAAGGAACGCTATGAGGCGCTCAAGGATAAAAAGACGTCATTTGGAGGTACCCTTGCAGAGTGCATCCGATCAGGTGGGTTGAATTCAGTTGAAATAGAAATGAATCCGAGCAGTAAATACATGTACAAAAAAGTATGCGCGGTTAAATGCTCCTGAAAGGCTTAAGCTTATGTTATAACATTAATTAGTTATTTGATATTTGAGTCGTATGACTATAATGTCAAGATTTTGATAATCATTAAATGTAATTTAGTGACAATGGTTATCTGAATAACTGGTATATCTTAAAATCTGTGTGAAGATAATTAAGCTGGAGTCATAAGCTATTTTTTTCACATACCTTCGATCTAGCATCATCTTAAATTTACAGCAGTTTTAAATGATTAATTCGATTGCTACTGCTAGTTCTGTTGCAATCCATTCCACTACGACTGTCCCTCGCGTTTAACCCCCCTCTGCAACCTTCGAGATATCCCCTATTTTCTGTGAAATATCAGTATTTTTCCACTGAACTGCATTCTCTGCATCATTTGCAGGCAAGTATTCTGCACGTGTAGTACCAGGCATCGGTTGTCACACTGTATTGGCACCGTGTTATTTTCGGCAGCCGCTATAGCGATGCCCGTATATAGACAGAGCTCTCTCCTCAGTGCGGGCGAGTGTGCGCTTTCACTCATGTTCAGCAAGCGGTTGCGACAGTGATTACCACATTTTTTTCAGTAGCTAACCATTTACGTTCGATGGAATCCATATACACCGCTGGTATTGCCATTTGTCATTAATGCTGACACGGTGTTTTATGTCCACGAGGTTATATTTAGTAGCACGCCAGCCAGCCTCGTTATGGTCTGAAGGTCACTCACATTGTGATAGCCAACGTATCTTGGCTTGTATAGATATACAGTTAGTTTACTTTCAGAAACACTTATAAGTAATTATATGTATGTAAACACTATAATCGAAATGGAGGCAATGCAAATGCTTACTTTCAGGTCGGACGAACTCTAGACTTTCCAAACTGTTCTATAGGTATCGGGTTCACCATTACTCTCACAGGCTATGAAAATCCCAAAACTTTCAGCCAGACCACAGGGCTGGTTGGATGTAAAAACTTGCCAGCCCTGACCAAAACTTACCTGCCCACAAAAAAATACTTATTTACTTATTTACTCTATTTTTACGAGTGAATTAATAATGATTTATTATCCTGAAATATGATGAATATCTTTATATACATGTCTAAATTTTAACCCGACCGTCGGACAGGTGGATTTGAGAATCTGGCAGTCCGTGTTGAAAATAACCCGTCTCGGGCGGTCGGGCAGGCGGGTATTTCGAACGCTGGCTCTCAAGGCTACTTTAATCCCTGCGAATATATACACGGTGTTGAGGGGCGTCATTCATCCATCTAGTCAAACTCATGTCTTCTACGTTTATAACTAAACTACGCTTGTGACGAACTGACGGATATAACGAGCTGGTTTTGTCCCCGACAGTCTGTGTAATGCCTAACCCAAACTACTGTTATAACCAACTAGAGTTAGTGGTCGCTTTGAGTTCGTTATAACTATAGCAAAACATACACACGCTTACTTCGAACTGTTGGATATTACGACATGTTTTAGGTCATTCCTGAATATGTCGATTGTAATGCGTATCACAAACTACATTTATAACGAACTATATGTTGTGGTCCCTTTCGTTTCGTTATAGCCGTTACATACCTTTACGATAACAAAACTATCAAACAACGTGCACGTCTACAGTTACAACGCCATTGAGTCGTTATTGGTTTAGACATGAGTCACGATGTACTTCGAGATAACCATATTGATTAGTGCACTCCCTGGCAGGGTGCCCGGCATCGGTTTACCGAAATGATAGCCCAGGACATATAGTGAGATGAGGTGAAAATGGGTTTAACGTCGTGCTTGAGAATATTTTGCTCATATGACGACGTGCATGCGTGTGTATGTGTATGTGCGGCTGCTTGTACTAGCCCAGACTTAAGCTGGCTTTATAGTGCTAGCCCACTGAGATACCATGCCGCAGTGAAGCATGAATACCCCCCTCAGACACATTATACTGACTCCAAGCCGACCAGTCCTTGTTGTACCCATAAATGCTGAGCGCCAGACAGGGACCAACAAGTACCATATTTTAACGTCTTTTGGTATGACGCGGTCGGGGATCGAACCCGCGACCTTCCCCTCTCCGGGCGGACTCTCTAACCACTACACCACGGAGGCGGTCCCTGGACATATAGTGAATGTCAATACTGTGGTTAAATGTGAGAAATATTCAGTCATAACAGCCTCGTGTTGATGCTCATTCAGCAGTTATCTTAAGGCGTGTTGTTAAACGTCGTACTCGGCAATATTCCCACTGTTTGACGGTATGTAAGTGATCGAAGCTGGACAAGATAATCATGTGATTGACATCATGCATCGATCTGCGCGTTTAGAACATGATTACATGTCAGTGCGTCTGGCCACCCATTCTCGAAAGTCGCTTACAAGTACGGAATTTAATCGATTTAAAAAAAGAACTTAAATTTAAATTTAAACAGATTTGGAACAGACATGATGCTTGACAATATTCAAGCATGTTCAGTGTAAAAAATATGTATATTATTAGGAATAAATGTCTCCTCAACTTTACAGAGTTATTTTTTCGAAAGTAAGTATGATTTGATGGAGTTGATAATACCCCTATATTCTAAAATATGTCTTAATATTGTATAGGGAAATAAACTCCTCATAGGCAAGAAAATTATTATCTTTGTTCAGTAAATCATTAATGAATTTAACATTTCCCTTCAAGTAATGTTTATAGATAATTGTTTTTTGATCTACGGTGGTATTGTGGTTTGCCCATATATATTGTTGTGAAATTTCAGTATCAATGTCATCATTTGTTTGTAAAGATTGCATATTTGCCCACGCTTCGTAAACACCTTTCCAAAAAACATTTCTGATATTTGGGATAATAGTGTGTTTTAAATAGCTTGCTCCCATCTCTGTTGGATGAAGACTTTCTGTTGGAATAGCAAGATCTATAACATTTGATGTGTTAGAATGTTTAACTAATGTTCTGCGCAGCCATGAGAGTTTTTGAGCCTGTATTGTTTCAAGAATTAAAGGTACATTTAGCCGCCCCCGCCCCCCTCCCCTAACCTTTGTGCGATTGAATAATCGTGTTTCGTCAGGTTTTCCGTTCCAAACAAATTTAAAGCATTTTTTCTGTAGATTTTGAATGGTATCACTTCTTGGATTTGGCAACATGGTAAAAAGATGGTTTAGGGAAGGTAATATAAGGCTTTTAAGGACAGTAATTCTACCAAATGGAGTAAGGTCTCTTCTTAACCACATCGTCATTGTCTTACCAACTTGTTTTAGTTTGTCTTTATAATTTCTTTCAACCATTTCAGCCTGGTTGTGTTGAAACTGAATTCCGAGTAAAGTAAAGGGTCTTTGGGACCAATCTAGTTTGAAGGTCTTACAGTATTGAATGCTTGAGTATTACATAGAACCAATCCAAAAATGCATGAATATTTTTCCAAAAGAATTTAAAGAAATCGGATGTGTAACCAGAAGGTCCGGGACTTTTGTTATTTTTCATATTTTTCAGAGCATTAAGATATTACACAAAAGTACTTCGAAGAACAGTTGGTGATTAATAGTTAAATGTTTTCCCCCTTCGGTATCAACTCTACTGTATTCACCAAATGTATCTCTTACAGTTTTCTTAAGTTTGCTAACATACTCTGGATCATGTAACAAGCTATTGTTAAACTTCCAGAACCCACGTCCCCTTTCAAGTCTTGTGAATTGGAGTTCTATTGCTGTCAGGGAATGATCAGATCTATAACCGGCAAATATATCAGATGACATCACAGATTTCTCGAGATTTCTACTAATTAAAAAGAAGTCTAACCTGGCTTGTTTAAGAGGTTTCGATTTTCTCCAGGTATATCTTTTGGTGTTCAAGTTAGCTTCGCGCCAAGGATCGTAAAGGTTAAGTTCTTCTAACATATCGACAACAACATTTCTGGCTTTTGGATTATTAAAGTGCTTGTAGTTGTATGTATCTATATCTTGATTTTGTACGAGATTAAAATCGCCACACATTATATTTGTGTCACAATCAAGCGATCAAAATTTTTGCTGATAAGCATGATCCTGCTACGCTGGTATAAGGTCAGCAAGGTCACACTTTATGTCCATCCAATCCTCACAGGAGTGACATTTTCATTATATTCTGTAATTCATGTATTTGTGATTATTTTAAGTTTGACGATTCATTCTTCAGGCTGCCTTAACCTCGACAGCGGTGTCGGAATCTACGCCTGCGACCCCGAGGGCTACACCGTCTTCGCCGAAGTCCTCGATGCGGTCATCAAGGACTACCACAAGGTCGAGAAGCTTGACCACCCGGAGCCAGACATGGGTGACCTTGACAAGCTGAACTTCGGCGACCTTGACCCATCCGGCGAATACATCGTGTCCACCCGCGTCCGTGTCGGCAGGAGCCACGACAAGTATGGCTTCCCACCTGTCCTTACCAAACAGGTATGAGGTTATACATGCGTTTTCGACTTTCGGGGGTCAAGGTTAGGTGTGGCTGAAAATTGTCATCCGGTTTTGCCCCAACACAATAATTGTCGGGTGTTGGATGTGGAGAAAAACGCACCGGAATATTAGTGGAATAATGTTGAAAAAGTTTCCAAACCAGATTCAGTCACTGTCTCAAAGTAATGGTACTGTATCGAACTACTGGTACTTAAGGATTATGGTGTGGTGGGGTAGCCTTGTGGTTAAAGCGTTCGCTCGTCACGCCGAAGACCTGGGTTCAATTCCCAAAATGGGTACAATGTGTGAAGCCAGATATTGCTGGAATATTCATAAAAGCGGCGTAAAACTAACCTAGCTCACCGAAAGATAACCTTTGCTTTATAGGAGCGCCTGAAGATGGAGGAAGACACCAAGGCCGCCTTCGAGAAGTTCACTGGCGAACTGGCTGGCAAGTACTTCCCTCTGGAGGGCATGTCCAAGGAGGACCAGAAACAGATGACAGAGGACCACTTTCTCTTCAAGGATGACGACAGGTAAACCTGTAACAAGGAATGATTGGTTGCGATTGATTCCCCACCCTTAAGGAAGCATTGACAAAGAGTCAGTTGCCCCTCGTTGTACGGTTGTGCACTTCCGTTATTAGTTATTCAGATCTGTTAATTGCCTGATAGGGGATTGCGTCTGGTTACAGTTGATAGGGACCAGTTGACAGCTGGGGTTTACTGTAGCACTGGACATCAGGTTATGGTTCTGCAGCCGTTACCCCGGATATCGGTTTCCGTCCACACTGTAACAACCTGTGTTGCCCTTCCCCGGGATCTCCTATATCGCGAATACCATCAAAACATTACCCGTGGAGCACCGGGTTAGAACTGACTCTCAGCAACCCATACTTGTCGTAAGGCGGCTAACGGGGTTAACGAGATCAAGTGGTAAGGCTCGCTGACCTGGTTGACACATGTCTTCGTATCCCAATTACGTAGATCGATGCTCATGCTCTTGATCACTGGATTGGCTGGTCCAGACTCGATTATTTCCGCCATAAAGCTGAAATATAGCTGAGTGCGGTGTTAAGAAACAAACAAAAAACATTATTACAAGCGACATCAAATTCAACTTCCTCGCTCCATTAGCGACGATTTTACAGACTAGATACATGTTAAATTGTGACATCGTGCTTTGCTATATATAATACATATTGCTTGATGGGGAGAAAAATTTGCCTCTGAGGGAGCTTTGCTTGTTGGTATGTGACTAATTATAAGCACCCCCGTTTGGCACACATCTCGCACGTATGAATGTATTACAGATTCTTGAGGGACGCCGGTGGCTACAACGACTGGTGCTCAGGCAGAGGCATCTTCTTCAACAGCGCCAAGAATTTCCTTGTGTGGGTGAACGAAGAGGACCATCTCCGTCTCATCTCCATGCAGAAGGGCGGCGACTTGGCCGCAGTGTACAAGAGGCTCGTGGTGGTAAGGTCGAAATCCAACTCACGACTCATTTCTATAGAAATACTGAACGAAATACAAGCCCAAAGAAGTTCTTACATCAGTTCCACACACTTAGTCCAGGAGCCGGTTGACCAATTATGCTGATCGACAATTTTGAGGGAATAGATCTGTTTTAGCCGAATTCGTGATATCCGGAGTTCGGTTGTTAAGAATTAAATAAACAGTATAAAACGTTAGCTTTCTTGCCTTATGCCAGAACTTTTACAGGCATATTCATGTTGGCTTAGGAACAGCAAACCAATGGTCGATAGCACGAACAACATACGCTGTAAATACACCTCTGGTTCTATTTTACGACTATTACCCGATTTCTTTTGCAGGCCATCAAGACAATGACCTCCAGTGGTCTGTCCTTCGCCAAACGTGAAGGTCTGGGCTACCTGACATTCTGCCCTAGCAACTTGGGCACAGCTCTCCGTGCCTCTGTGCACATGAAGATCCCCAATCTGGCCGCTCAGCCTGACTTCAAGGAATTCTGTGATGGATTTCACATCCAAGCTAGAGGTAAATCTACCTTTAACTATCTTCACAGTTGGTGGCTAATTTCAAACTCGATGTTTACCTGAATGTTTGTTTGTTTGTTTATTGCTTAATGTGACGGAGTTCTGTAAATAATCCAGTCTGGACCAGACATTCCAGTGATTGTCAGCATGAGCATCATTCGGCGCAAGTAGGGTTTAATAATAATAATAATAATAATTGATTTATAGAGCGCCTATTTCCAAAAGATATTGCTCAATGGCGCTATAAAGAGAAAAGATTGTAGACAATGTCTATGGAAAAGAGAGTTTGAACAGATGAGTTTTGAGGGCTGTTTTGAAAGCGTCAGCAGATACTATTTCTTTTAGGGTTTACCTTTATGAGGAAAGAGTTGAAATGATTCGTGTACTGGTAAACGTGAATTGTTTCATGTGACTTAAGGATTGGCTGATATAGCAGTGTCGATAAAATTAAGGCCTCGGTGTGTCTTTAAAAGAGTGCGTGAGATGGGCTTTACGCCTCTTTTAGTTATAGTTTGTCCGGGGAACACCAGTATGGGCTTTACCCATTGTACCCATGTTGGGAATCGAACCCAAGCCTTCGGTGTGATGAGAGGACGCTTTTACCACTAGGCTACCCCACGAGCTGTCTTAAAAGAAGTTTTTGGAATATATACGTTTTGGTAGAGAAATCGGTGTTTGGAAGACTACAAACCAGAACATAATGATTTCTCGGCATTTAGACATCAACTTCAACCCCATTTTCTCTGATATAGGTATCCATGGCGAGCATACCGAGAGTGTCGGAGGAGTGTACGATCTGTCCAACAAGCGTCGTCTTGGCCTTACTGAGTACCAGGCCGTGGAGGAGATGCGTAAGGGAGTGGAGGCGTGTCTTGCCAAAGAGAAGGAACTTGCCGCCAAGAAGTAAACCAACAAACTCTCACCCAGTCGTCCACTCAAGGCAGTATTATGCAGCGAACTTGTAAATAACTCCACGTGTGTTTTTATTTATTTGTGCCCACAGCTCGGAAAAGCACCACGGGAGCCAATCATCTGAATCTTCAGATAGGGATACCTGCCCTTCTCAATCCATCGGTCCACCCGATTAGCTCTGTCACTGGCTACGCAAGTCGTTGGCTTCCCCCACACGGGTGGACACAAGCCGACTACTGTGAAAGGTCAAGAAACCAGCGATGACCAGTGTTAGTGCAACCTAGTTCAGTGTGTATGTCCGGCCGTCCATTCAGTTTCCGGTGTGGGCGGGCGGACGGTTGGACATGGTTCAATCCTGCTCTCTCTGCCTCCAATAGGAGCATATGGGGCTATTCCATAGTGTCCTGTGATATCAACGAGGATTATTGTATCTAAACCCTATTTTATGACCCCAGAATAAAAACAAGAAGAGAATCGTATGGTGTTTGTTTCACGACCTCGTGTATCCCGAATGTTCGGATTAACAGTTGTCCAGGGATGTGTATAATGTTCCAGACGTTTTAACATCACTTTTTTACAGGTATAGCCAGTTTTCCTGTCCACCCTGGGCATGGCAACCCAGTGATTGGCATATTAACCACTTGTACGCCATCGAGAAACGACATCAAGGCACCGATCACACCATTCAAATACGCCTCTACTACGACGAGCAATGGCTTGTTTGTGACCTTCTCTAACACTGGTGCTGGGGGTCTAATTATCAAAAAATGCATTACTTCTTTTTTCTTTCAAGGGATCAGTACCAGTGAGACTTAGCTTTATATGTTTACGAGAGAAAGGCCAAGCAAACATATTGGGACAGTCTCCATTTTCTTACATAATCAACTATCACTAAACAAACAAACAAATCACAACAAAAATGTCAATTAGAAACTCTGCTAGAAAAAATATGGTAAGTGTCACCAATATTTTTTATGCATTCGGACCACGCCATGATAGAGGGGAAACGTTGCACTGTATATCTCTGAACAGAATTTTATTATCATTTATATATTTGGAAACAACACTTGTATCGGCGCCATCTGGCGGACAGGGGAGATAACTGATTACGTGAGAACAGAAACACTTTTACATTCCATTTTCATTGAAACAAACTGTTGTACGTAACTAACATCTCAAAGGCTGGTTATACAGCTCAAGTCATGCACCATTGACTACACATTGACATGGAGACATAAATCAGAAAGAACAATGACAACTGACATCCGTGTAGGTGCTGCACAAAACAGGAACTGTCCTCTCCACCGACATGAACGCCCTGAGATTTACAAAGTGCTCACCATTGACGAAAATGTCATTTCAAGATAGAAATGTGCGCAATCTTTTTGTACAGCCATGTCCATTTTAAAAAAAACATACTGCATGATATAGTCTGACCAAATGCATCGCCAGCCCTCTCCTATAAACGTCAGTATCATAAACCCTGCAAAATGAAACGTAATTTATCAGCTATCGTGTGTCCAAATGACACGCTATTACTGACATGCTATTCAACACAACTCTCTTTCATCCTCAAAGCGTAAACGAATTTAAAATATCATATATTCTTTCCCCCTTTACATAGCCACCTTCAATCAAGTTTTAATATGTCGTAAAACATTAAGACAAAAATGTCGACACATACAAATTATGCCTTGGAGGCATTAACTATGACTCAGTATGTGTGAATGTCCCTTACAGGGTCGAAACACTCGCAGTGATGTTTGAAGTTACAAGCTAGTGGCATTCAACGCGCTCAAGCTGTTTGTACTTCAAGTGTTCTGTTTTACTTCCTGGTTCAAGGATCACAAGGAAAGCTATCAAACGTATTATGTTTATAATTAGTAACAAAACGGGAGTGGTAGTGATAGAAAACGTTTGGGGGTTTTGCCACTTATAAAATGTTTATCTAGTGACAAACAATATAAATTTAAATACTATCGAATACAACATATGTTATATTTGGGATTACACTTTCTTCGTAAAGTACAAATTCAAGTACTTTTTAGGGTTGAGTCCCATCCGGGTGTACCCACCCTCAGAGTCAGGCACCAAATCACCAGCACACAAAGTCGCTCAGCCACCGCGACTTCCACAGAATCTATCGAATAGATTGTAAGAACCGCCGCGTTCTTTAATATTATTTTGTGATTTTAAATGTTTTCATCGGGATGTATAGTCATTTAAAAACAGCTACTGGGATACATGTTTAAATACGCCTATCAAAACTGGGGTTACATTACACGCAGTAAGCGTTCGAAATTAACGTCGGTCCTTAGACAGCTTTCGTTTTCTGTAGGTCCTTATGGCCGACAGCTTTTTCATTCCCAATAACTAAGCGTATTAAAAAAAATTCAAATATTCTGTAATTTCTAGTTTTTATCTCGATCAGCAGCTGTTGTCTGTAAGTGAAACGACTATCAATTCCGAGGAAGCAATTTAGATTGCTGAGATATGATATTTTAACCTCGAACAAGTTATCCTTTAACTCTTTAACTCAGTTAGTTAGTTATGGTTCTGGGTCCTTAGGGCCTGTAATTTTTCAGGGTTAAGGTCAAACACTGCATACAGTCGCTAAACCACCATCATGTTACACAAACTTAAATCTACTTCCGATACTATGTTTACTGGAGGCGATTCAGAGGATATTGGTCGTAGGTTCGATTACAGGTGGTGAAGTTATAAAGTGATGATTTGTTTTCAAAATATTCAGATAAATGTTATAATATTATATATTTCAAATGAGAAATCTGATAAACAATCAACTTAGATTACACAAAGCCATTTAGAAAGTGGTCAAATGTAACATATGTTATATTTGGGATTACACTTCCTTAGTAAAGTACAGATTCTTGTACTTTTGTTGGGTTGAGTCCCATTTGGGATTCGAACCCACACCCTCAGAGTCAGGCACTAAATCGCCAGCACACAAGGTTAGACGGCTGATATCTGCCAGTGGTGAAATAAGTTAGGACTGAAAAATAAAACGAAGTCAATGTACGTCGCTATATAGTTGTCTTATAATCCTAATTACTTTATTCTTATATTTTTATGCATTTCGGAAGTTTATAAAAAGTACACGATATGTTAGGGAACTGATAACATGACTGGAATATCTACACATTTTATGGATTGCCTACGTGAATCATATTTCACAAACACGCCCTAAGTACGACCTTGTGTAGGGTGTCTGTCTCATCAAACTTGGAATGATTCCGTTGGATGCTACAAAAAATGAATAGAAACAAAATACAAATGTTAAAACTAAAACCAACTCAAGTTAGAGCAATAATATCAGGCCGTTACCATATGCACATAAAGAAACGATATATCATTCATCTGCAGCTGACAAAGAAACCTGTCCCATGTCAGCTGTCTTTAAACAGTGTATAATATGCAAAATATGCATAAATCGTTATAGACAACTTCTCTATTGCAATCGATGCGATTTCAGTGTAGATTAGCATCGATCGCATTAAAGAAGTTGTCTTTATCGTTATAACTAGTGATGAACAGGAACGGTTTTTTATGGGTACACAACTGGTTTATTGCAATCGATGCGACGTTTCCTTGTAGATGCTATTCTACACCGAAACGTTGCATCGATTGCAATAAAGAACTATAGACACCTACTTGACCTAGACTAACAACTAGTCTCTGAAATGAACATATTTTACAGAAAAAAGTCTCATAGTGAAAAAAAACACAAAATAAAATAAAAAGGAGCCCTGAGACTTTCTTCATTTTCTGAAGCTGTGGAATCTAGACTTGCCACATTTTCTAGACATGCATGGGATTTCTTGGATATATTTGCTTCAGGGTCTGTATGACAGACTACAAGTTGACCCAAAAGAGCACGGTCCGCGTGTCCGCTACCTTGTGCAGTATATAAGATTACAGATTACAAGGCAAAAGTCGAGATGGCATCTGGAAATACTCCAGCCGGCAACGCTGACTTAAAAGAATAGTGGGGAAAACTTTCGAAAGCGTCCCCGGATACCTGCAAGTCCCTGTTGAAAAAACACTTAACCCAAGAAAAGGTATGACAAACTCAAGGATCTAAAGACGGATCTCGGAGGAACTCTGGCAGACTGTATTCGATCAGGTGGGTAGGTTTTTTTTAATATAGTTTAATGCAGAATCTGTAGAAAAACACGATACAGTATGAACAAGAATCTTGACATCAAAATGTTTCAAATGTGGTTTGGCTTTTCATCACAATGTTTTCCCGGTTCAGTATTTAGGTGTCTGATAAAAATATACTGGAACAGAATGAGATCTGTAATTTAAGCATATTTAAGTGTTTATGTGAGTTTCTGAAATGCCGAAGCTTTTAAATATTTCCACTCTGTTCATTTAGACCTTATTGACTTACTGTCTTTACCAGGTTAAGTTAGAGGTCATATCTTGTGATTAGTGAGTTTGGTGAAATTAGTCACTGGTTAATATTTGTTAGATATAATGTTCCAGAAATCTGGACTGATATTATCAATTCGGAGGGTAACCACCAAACGCATCCTGCAAAGTCGAAACCCAGCTAACAATATTTCACGTTGTCGCAACGTCATGCTTTCGTTCCGTGGACTTCCATTTACGTTGTCAAGTTTAATTTCAGGCTGCCTTAACCCCGACAGCGTGGTCGGTATCTACGTCTGCGACCCCGAGGGCTACACCGTCTTCGCCGAGGTCCTCGATGCGGTCATCAAGGACTACCACAAGGTCGAGAAGCTTGACCACCCGGAGCCAGACGTGGGTGACCTTGACGAGCTGGACTTCGGCGACCTTGACCCATCCGGCGACTACATCGTCTCCACCCGCGTCCGAGTCTGCAGGAGCCACGACTTCTTTGGATTCCCACCCGTCCTTACCAAACCGGTATGAGGTTAAATGGGTTGTTATTGTATTTTGAAAGGATAAAGGGTAGGGGTGGATGTACATTGTCATCCGGTTTTACACCAACACAACAATCGTCGGATGTTGGATTTGAGGTGAGGTGAGGTGAGGTGAAATGGGGTTTAACGTATAATATTTCGCTCATATGACTACGTGCATGCGTGTGTATGTGCGGCTGCTTGTACTAGCCCAGACTTAAACTGGTTTTATAGTGCTAGCCCACTGAGACACCATGCCGCAGTGAAGTATAAATACCCCACTCAGACACATCATACTGACTCCGAGCCGACCAGTCCTTGTTGTACCCATTAATGCCGAGCGCCAGGCGGGGACCAACAAGTACTATATTTTAACGCCTTTTGATATGACGCGGCCGGGGATCGAACCCGCGACCTTCCGCTCGGCGGGCGGACGCTCTAACCACGGAGGCGGTCTGTTGGATTTGAAACAAAACACTGAAATATAAGTGAAATAATGTTGAAAATAGTGCAAACCAGATTCAGTCATTGTCTCAAAATTAAAGGTACTGTGACTAACTACTAGTACTCTTGTACTGAAAGATTACGGGGGTGAGCTTGACATAGTTGAAAACAGGATTTGTACTGACGCCATCTGGTGGACAGGGGAGATAACTGATTACGTTTGCGTGAGACCACAACATTTTGACTATAAATGCTCACTGAGGGGTGGTGGGGCTAGCCAAGTGGTCACAGCGTTCGTTCTTCGCTCCGAAGGCCCAGGTTCCATTCCCCACTTGGGTACAATGTGTGAAGTCCATTTCTGGTGTCCCTCGCCGTGATATTGCTGGAATGGGAGTAAAACCATGATCACTCACTCACTCACAAAGTGTAATGATACTTTGTCGAGGTATAACATATATGGAGTTTTAGTTTCCACATCAAAGACAGCGGTTCTGGCAATGAAAGCGTGACAATTTAAGTGGGTCCTGTCATTTTCGCAAGAGATGTTTGAATTCATTATTTGTGTGTGCAAACATTTGTAGCTGGATCAGGCTTGTAAACAGATAGGCACATGCAACGAATATCAACTCTCTTCATAGCTGAGCATCAGAGCAGCACGTAATTCATCACAGTGAGTGAGTGAGTGAGTTAGCTATACTCCAGCCACTCTCAGACAACAGAAGCTACGCATGTGTTCGGTTTATTTACATACAGTAGGGAATGTGAAACAACCCTGAAACAATCAGATTAACACAGATTAAACAACGCACACGTGTTATAAATTGCAGATAAACAATTCGTGCACACGCAAATACGTACAAAGCAAGTTGGTAGCATCATAGAGTTGAACAAACACCGGCCTTGTGTACCAGTACTGGTATACATTAAGGCGGGCAAACACTAACTACAAACATGTAGGGGCGGTGGGGTAGCCCAGTGGTTAAAGCGTTGGCTCGTCACGCGAGGGCCCGGGTTCGAATCCCCACATGGGTATATTGTGTGAAGCCCATTTCTGGTGTCCCCCGCCGTGATGTTGCTGGAATATTGCTAAAAGCGGCGTAAAACCAAACTCACTCACTAGAAACATGTAGGTAAGCACGTATTTGTGAAACGTCTTTCTGTTTCGGTACATGAGTTATCTTGATTTGTTGGCTGGTTGTTGTTTCCCTACATGGGTACAACGTGTGAAGCCCAAATTCCTGGTGTCCCCCGTCGTTATATTGCTGGAATATTGCTAAATGCGGCGTAAAACTCAACTCACTCACTCATTCCCTCTCTATTTTGTCAAAATGTATATTATCATCTAGAAATGTATTATTGGCCGAGGGAGTAAGCACAGATGAGGATTTTTTCGATGCAGCGGGTCTGAGCCTCACAAAACTCACTCCCTTGAATAACCTGTTAACAGAAGACGTGCAGATTTCGTAAGTTATGGCAGTCGTTACTGACATGAACTGACAGATAAAATTTATGCCCTTTTAAGAGTTTCTATTCGTAAAAGGCAACTTAGACGAGTGGGTGCCCCAGACGCTTTAATTAAAGACCGAAGGCCTATGGGTGAGTGAGTGAGTGTAATTTTACGCCGCTTTTAGCGATATTTCAGCAATATCACGGCGGGGGACACCAGAAATGGGCTTCACACAGTGTACCCATGTGGGGAATCCAACGCTTTAACCACTAGGCTAACACACACACACACACACACACACACACATGGCTTGAATATTGCTGTGTGCGGCGTAAAACAGCAAACAAGTAAATGTAGACGAATCGAACGCCAAGAGCGTTGGAGATTGTTCATGATATTACCCACTGGTTTGTCGATTATTCAACATACCTCCACGTAAATGAGCTTTAGCAGTGTTTATTGCAGCGTTGAACAATAAACAAACAAATGTAGGCGAATCGGGTGGTTAGGAACCCCGATCGTGTGGAGATTGTTCATGATATTACCCACTGGTTTGTCGATTATTCTACATACCTCCACGTAAATGAGCTAAAAACAATGCTGATTCCAGCGTTGAACAATAAACAAACAACATTATCTGTTTATTCACGGAGAACACCAAGTGCAAGTATCCCGTCACGAGTCCACGAGGAGCACGTGCCGTCCGTGTTTTCTAACACATCGCGTGGCTCACGAGATTCACGATCTTTTCGCAGCAAAGGCTGACACCATTCATGATGTGGTAACAGGACGGCGAAGGTCATCCTTTCAACAGGCTTCGGCTGCAAACATTTCCGCGTCACATCCGGCTCAATACCAGGAGGACGTGAACTGCCGCACGCATCTTTATTTGAGCTGGCGCTAGGAGGACAGATAGATACACGCGGTATATTCAGGTACATTTTACAGTTTATTTACGACATTTATAAAATACTAACGATATATTTGTCAATTTATTCGTTACTGTAAGTATATATGTAGTCCAGTGTCATGATTAACTGCAGTAAATGTTCATTCGTACTTTAACTTGGATGGGCCGATGAATGTGAAATTAATACAGTTTTATCACGTTGTACGCGTATGTGTATAGACGTATTTACGTTCAACTGCATTATGTATGGCTTTACTGTTGTATTCACAACGGTCAAAACCCGTCAGTGGTTCATGAATGTTCAAGCATGTCGGAGGTGTTGCCCTCCGTATACCGGCTGAATAACTTATAGCCAGACGTGAAACCTCATACGTTCCCTGTTCTAATCGGTCGAACTGGTAGCTAAGGGATAAGAGGATATCACAACACGGCCGGCTTGAAACACACAACGGGTTCCGCAGTGTTCAGACGTCCATTTCGCTTGTGCGAGTCTAAGTCGGTTGAAACACCGTTAACACAGCTGCTGGAGCTAAAATACTCACACAGACGTCCAGCGCTGCTCTAAACAGCAGGTCACGCATTTTTAGCTGTATATTCGCCACGAAAGCAGACATTTGAATCGTCGCTTGTGCTGTTGCTAGGCAGCTTGTGTGTTAACGTCTGCGATAGGACGAGAGCTAGTTGACCCAAGAGAGCACAGTCCGCGTGTCCGCTACCTTGTACAGTATATAAGAGCCGGCGTCCAAATGTATTCAGATTACAAGGCAAAAGTCGAGATGGCATCTGGAAATACCCCAGCCGGCAACGCTGACTTACAAGCATTGTGGGAAAGGCTTTCGAAAGCGTCCCCGGATACCTGCAAGTCCCTGTTGAAAAAACATTTAACCCAAGAAAGGTATGACAAACTCAAGGATCTAAAGACGGATCTCGGAGGAACTCTGGCAGACTGTATTCGATCAGGTGAGTAGGTTTTTTTTATATAGTTTAATGCAGAATCTGTAGAAAAACACGATTCTTATACAGTATGAACAAGAATTTTGACATTAATATGTATCAATGGTTTCGATTTTCTCACAATTTTTCCCAGTTCAGTATTTAGATGTCTGATAGAAATATTCTGGAACAGAATTAGATCTGTAATTTAAACATATTTAAGTGTTTATGTGAGTTTCTGAAATACCGAAGCTGTTTAAATATTTCCACCCTGTTCATTTAGACCTTATTGACTTACTGTCCTTACCAGGTTAAGTTAGAGGTCGTATTAATAGTATAGGTTAATATATTTTTAAGTATGTTCCCGAAATCTGGACTCATATTATCAATTCGAAGACGAACCAACAAATCCACGATATCCTGCAAAGTCGTAATGGCGGATTTTGACAGATTTGAGTTCATTGGTATTTAAACACGGTCTTATATCTGAACTCTTTGGTGTGGCTAGTGAGCTAGCAGCACAATACAGGGACATTCAACTTTTCATTTTTTAGCTCTTTATCTGTTAATCTTGTGAGAAGTAACAGATAGCAGATAAAGGAGTGCGCGTATTGTAAGGCAACCACGCCCAGTCCTCCAGTCGATTCATGCCGCCATGATAGCTGTTGAGAAGTGAAACAAAACCACGGATAAAACATCCGTGTGTATTGTTTACGTGGCATACTGCTTTTTCGTTTATGGTGGAAAATGTTAGGAAGATTAAATTGAATTTTACATGGGAGGATTTTGGCAAGATTGCTAGATAAAATCCGCACGTTGAGCGTCCGCTATTCTGATTGAAACGCCAGTAAAATGTCCAGTTTAATTCCTGGCCCGCTGGAGTTGCCTCCCTTAATTCGTCGATCTGTTTCTTCGCACATTTCTCGCACAAGTGAGGTAACTTTTCTGATGTATCAACTGTTTAACGTTCAGTCATCCATATGTAGCCTATTGTTACTCAAGTACAATTACTGATCTCTTGTTCAAATTATAGTGCTCAAAGGTAGTAGACGGTTGTTGTGTGCGAATTTGCTGTACTATTCGTTTCATTAAGAGAAAATTGTCTCGATTGTTGACATAGCCATATTGTCAATTCCCAAAAATGCTCATCCAGGGAATTGGTACTTTTGTTGTGATGATAAACAACAGGATTTTGGAATTGTATCCAGGGAATGTTCCCGAATGCATTCTGAGAAAGTTTATTATGACGAAGGTAAACTGTATATTTTACACATTCATAATGACCTAGTGGTTAATGCGTTCGCTCATCACGACGAAGACCCGGGTTCGATTTTTGGTGTTCCCCGTCGTGATATTGCTGTAATATTACTGAAAGCGACATAAAACAACTCGCTCGCTCGCATGCATAATGTATCAATAATTGGTCAAGTACAGGGTGTAGATGCAGCTCCAGAATTGATGTTATTTGTCTACACAATCTCCCTCGCCAGAGGTCACGTATACAGAATTAGTTTATGTAATTCTGAAGATAAGCGATACAGCTTCCAGTGGGGGAGAGGCGTTGGTGTAGACAAGTGGATAAAGCATTCGCTCTTCACGCCGAACACCCGGGTTCGATTCCCCACGTTGGTTAAATGTGTTAAACCCATTTCTGGTATCCACTTCCGTGATATTGCTGGGATATTCCTAAAAGCGGCGTAAACCCAACTCACTCACTCAATGGACGAAGCACATTGGGAGCAGGTTATGAGTATTTAAACTAATGCCCAGTCGTGATAACGTTCAGAAAATGCGTTTGTGAGATGGGCATATATAGTCTTTTTCAATGCCAGTATGTTCTAAGTACAAGAGTATCGGCAAAGCTTGTGACCTTAACCAACTGATAAATAACCAGAAATAACTGACTCCTCAAGATCAGTGACCTTGCATACCTCTCTCGCCTGTCGGGCATGATGCTTGGACTGGTCTTTCTGAACGTGCAGGTAGCTGACGTTTTAAAGAGCCAATGATTGTTGGGTTTCATAACTTCAAAGCTATTAATAGTTAACAGATGCTTCAGGTTGGAGTGTATCAACTCATACCTTCATTTCCCTTAGGATGCAAGAACCTGGAGAGCGGTGTCGGTATCTACGCCTGCGACCCCAAAGCTTACACCGTCTTCGGCGAGGTCTTCGAAGCTGTCATCAAAGACTACCACAAGGTTGATGGGCTTATCCACCCAGAGCCAAACATGGGTAGCAAGGAGCAGCTGGAGTTCGCTGACCTTGACCCATCTGGCGACTACATCGTCTCCACCCGCGTCCGTGTCGGCAGGAGCCACGACAAGTATGGCTTCCCACCCGTCCTTACCAAACAAGTAAGTCAATGTCAGAGTTAATCTGATGGTCCAGCAAGGATTGGAAATGTTCCTTGTGTTTTCGGGAGGGTTGTAACATTATGTGGTTACCACATCCAATTTTTTAAATGTTATAACCGTGGGTTCAGTGATATCCCAGTTGTACTTCTAATGGTCAGTGACAAATGGTTGCGGAGCTTTCTGTTCTACTGCTTTGAGAAATATATCACCCTGACCTGTAAATTTCTTGGAGACAGCTTATGGCCCTAAGATATACTCCTCACAAAAAGTTAAGCAACATAAATTTGTAGTCTCGTTACATTTTCATTTATTGAAATTGCAAATCATGGAATGTTGCAATAGAAAGGTGAAACATATGTACACATTGTGCTGCATTGATGGAGCAAAATGATAACATAAAGGTTCAAGTCCGTTTTGGACAGTAACGGGTATGATCATGAGTACAAATGCAAGCTTCTGCAAGTCTTTGCATTGACCAAATGAGCCTTTAAAGTTGCTGTTGTAGAATGTTCTGCCATTCTCTCTGTAACGCCTGCGCAAGGTCATCCAGAGTCTGGGGGTGAACATGGAGACCGTAAACACTTCAAATAATGCCCAAAGCATGTTCAATGGCATTAAGATCAAGTGACCTTGCGGCTCAGTCCATATGTGTGATGTTGTTGATCTAAACATCGTGAACAACTCTTTCTCGGGAATTATCATCCATGGACGGGCATTATTATCCATAAATATGAAGTTAGGACCTGCTTGTTGTGCCTGAGGTATAATTACATGTTGGTTTACACCGATCAGGATGCATGTGTGAAGAGTGGAGCACATTCATGCCACACATTTGCATGTTTCTGAGGGTGGTTGTGTTCGGGTGATGTCAATGTTATCAGATAAAGCATTCTTTTTCATAGAGATCGTCCTTGGGGTACATATTATGCATTTTCCAAGCTGAAAATGTCCTGTGACAGTTGTATCAATGTTTTTGAATAAAAATATTGTACAATAAATAAAAATCGTTTTATTTATTATACGGCCCCCACCTCGTGGAGTTACCTCCCGTTGCGCATGCGGACCAACTGGGTAAGCACCTAGGCCCGTATCATCATTACTTCTGCTGTCACTGCCAAGTAAGTCGCATGTGTAGAGCAGAGCTGTACTCTTGTGAACTTAAGAGAATAATGTCTGAGACGCCACCACCTGTATGTATGGTCTTTATTTTGTCCTTGTAAGGAAAAGTAAAGCTTTGCGGTCGGTTGTTTCATAATTGTGACTTTGTATTAATTATTTTATGCTAACTTTCCCGTGGTTTACGCACATGTTGCTCTTCCATGGCGGGAAGTTTAGCATGCCACGTGGTTGTAATATTGCGGTGAAGTCCCTTGTTCACGAGTCAGTTGGAGGTCTCCGCCAGGAGTTCCTCGCCAACTCGGAGCAGGGGACGGAGAGTCGGGGGTGGGATCGCCGAGCCCGGCTCGATCCCTCAGCCTGGAGGTGTCTGTCGATCCATTGCCTCTGGCTTCGGGTCCGGACGCCTCGGCTGCCCCGGAGGGGGAGGCTTCGCTCCCAGTCCCCCTCTCGGAGTTGGCGCAGGGTCCGTTGATGATTCCTGGGGTTCCGGTCCCTGCGCCGTCCCGCCCCATGAGAGCGGAGGCACCAGTTCTGCCTGGTCTGCCTCCAGCTTCTCGGGACCGGGGTTCGTGCGTGATGGCAGGTGCTGACGCGGGGCGCTCTGTCTGTTCTTCCCTCTCCTCTGTGACTGGTGCTAGGCCGCCCACTGGGTCGGGGTTCGGGTCCTCTTCGCGAGGAGACCCAGCCTCGGACTCGGGCGACGAGTCCATGGACACAGGGGAGGTTGAGGAGCAGGAGGGTGGACCATTGTCGGGAATCTCTCCAGGGGGGTCCCTTTGGAAATCCCGACGCCAGCTCTTACGGTTCAGACCGATGTGTCCCTCACCTTAGTGCAGGGGTGGGGTGGGGTGGGCTCAGGTTTGTTCTGGGCAGCCTGTCGGTGTCCGGACTCTGGTCCGAAGCTGAAGCCCACCTTCACATCAACGTGTTGGAACTGAGAGCTGTGCGGTTGGTTTTCGAGCGCTTCCGAGAGCATGTCCAGGGCCAGGTGGTTCGTCTTCAGTTGGACAAGCAGACGGCCATGTCGTACATCCTGAGGCAAGGCGGCACGGTGTCCCGAGCGCTCCTCCGGGAGACATGGGACTTTCTCCTCTGGTGCGACCAGTGCGATTGTCAGGTACTCCCTGTTTATCTCCTGGGGCTGGCCCCGCACGAGTGGATGCTTGACCGGCAGATATTCGGAGTTATCTCCCAGTTGTACGGGTCGTTCCAGGTGGATCTGTTTGCGTCCGGCGGGACGAATCAGACACCTGTGTTCTGCTCTCGAATACCGGACCCAAGGGCGTTGGCTGCCGACGCCTTCCTGCTGGATTGGACGGGCAAAGTGCTCTTGGCGTTCCCGCCGTTACCACTCATTCCCCGTGTCCTCTCACAGCTGTCCACCCAGCCAGCTCGGCTGCTTGTGCTACTGGCACCGCTTTGGCCGTCACAGAGCTGGTTTCCGGTAATTCTCAGGTTTCTGGCTGAGCCTCCTGTTCTATTACCTTTGCAACCGGACATTCTCACTCAGAACGGAGCGCCCCACCCCAATCCAAGGATTCAGTGGGTGGCTTGGCCTCTGTCAGGTCTAGCCTTGAAGCACGCGGGAATTCCTGCAGCAGTTGCAGACACAATTCTGGCTTCGAGGCGGGATTCGACAAACGTTCAGTATGAGGATAGGTGGTCCCGCTATGCGCGCTGGTGTTCAGATAGGGGGATTGCAGATCCCTTTTCTGCGGATTTAGTCCGAGTATTGGAGTTTTTGCAAGCCCGTTTGGAAGAAGGCCTGGCGGCTTCGACCATTCATGGCTACTCCACCGCTACTTCCACCTTTCACATCCCTGTCGATGGTGCTCTTCTGGGGCAGCACCCTCTCGTACCCTTTCTCACACCTATCGGCTATTTCCATTCAGTTGTTAACTTGGAAGGCTGTATTTCTGGTGGCGGTAACATCTGGCCGTAGGGTCGGCGATTTGCATGCTATGTCGTCCGACCCGGCGCTGACTGTTTCACGCTGATCATGTCAGTATTCGCCTCCCCGATACTTACAGCCCGAAGGTCGATCACGCTTTCCATGTGACAGCTCCTATCGAACTTCCCACTCTTACCCAGCCTTCCACATCGGGGACCTCTGCAACAAGCACTCACTCGTTGGATGTCCGCAAGACACTCAAGGTCTATCTCAAACGAACACGACGGATCCGTACGGGTACCCATCTGTTCTGCTGTTACGGTGGCGGGAAGGCTGGGCTGCCGCGGCGAGCAAGCAGACTTTGTCCCGCTGGCTCGTCTCGGCTATTTGTGCTGCGTATCAGGCTAAGGGCAAGCCTCCCCTGAGGGGTTGAAGGCTCACTCGGTCAGGGCAATAGCCGCATCAAAAGCTTTTGCATCGGCACTCCCCATTGAAGAGATCTGCTCTGCCGCTATTTGGAGCCGGCCTAGCACATTTATTCGGCACTATCAGCTCGATACACATTCCCGTAATCGTGCGAGCTTTGGCCGTTCTGTTCTCTCCAGTGGACAGTGTCCTGCCACCCTGACCGAGTGAGTCTTGGTTCATTGGTTTTGTTGACGCTGCTGTTCAATACTGTGTTTTTATTGACCTATCCGCTGCTGGGTGTTTAACCTCCTTTCGATCCTCTACGGAGAATATAGGTCGGTAGTGAGCGTTTTTAAATTCCCCCCTCCGGTGCTCTCTAATCGACACAAGGTGGGTGGGGTTTTGTTTACATTCGCACCATGTGCGAATTCTTATGCTAAACATGCGAGGTCGTATTTGAGTACATTTCCTACCTGTCAGTTACCCTCCCATAATGCCTCTCGCGGAAGCACAAACCGTGACAGGTGAGTGATTATGGCGTCTGTTACATTATTCAATTAACGATAGCTATTTGTGTGTGCTTTGACAGAATTCCCTCCTCCCTGGCCTCAGGTCTTTGTGAGTCTGTGTTTATGCATAATATGTACCCCAAGGACGATCTCTATGAAAGAATTAACTTTGACAAATTCCCTGTCCCTGAGGTTTTCAATGAGTCTGTTGAAGATGTCGTCCTTGAAAAGAATTAACCAAACCTAGGGCCTCCCGCCTCCCCGCAATTCTGTTCACTGATTTATTCAGCAGAAGGAATGATGATACGGGCCTAGGTGCTTACCCAGTTGGTGCGCATGCGCAACGGGAGGTAACTCCACGAGGTGGGGGCCGTGTAATAAATAAAACGATTTTTATTTATTGTACAATATTTTTATTCAAAAACATTGATACAACTGTCACATGACATTTTCAGCTTGGAAAATGCATAATATGTACCCCAAGGACGACTCTCTTCAAAGAATTGAAAACCTCTACAGGTTTGGTTAAATTTGACAGTCACTTAAGGTTATGTATTCTTTGAATATTTATTTACCTTGCAGTAACATGTCGGCAAAAAATCGCTGTGGAGATTGACAAAGATGTTACACTGAAAATGATTTTTGCTTAATTTTTTTGTGAGGAATATGAAAAGGCCTGGGTACTACTTACATAAATGGTTTCACAGATAACAAGGCTTGTAAAAAACGTTTTGCTTTTACTTTTCATTACATTTTTTAAAGTTTATTTTTTGCTTTACAAAGGTAAGCAAAATAGACTTACAACTTTCATAACTTTCTTATATTGTCATGCAACTATTGCAGAAGGGTGCCTCATGGTTGGTTTTGTTGGTATAACTATACTGGACAAAATAAGTTAGGGATATTGGTATTTTTATGCTTTTATATTTTAGCAGTGTGTCAATGAATAAATAGATCATTATTCATAATTTCAAAATTTACATATATTCCTAACTATTTTTGTCCAGTATATTTGGATAACTATTTTCCAGACCAATAATCAAATGGACTTAACCATTCAATATTTCTTGAAACAGTGTAAGCGTATTCAACCCATGTTCATTTGGGGTCTGCTCGATTCAAGTGAAAATGACATGGTCACTTCGAAAACTGGTTACTCATGCACAAGGTAACCTTTGCTTCCCAGGATCGTCTGAAGATGGAGGAAGACACCAAGGCCGCCTTCGAGAAGTTCTCTGGTGAGCTGGCTGGCAAGTACTACCCTCTCGAGGGCATGAAGAAAGAGGACCAGACACAGTTGGTTGCGGACCATTTCCTCTTCAAGGACGATGACAGGTCAGTGGGTTATGGGGGCAGTGGGCTTGCCTGACTCTAGCTGACTTGGTTGACACATGTCTAGTACCCAATTGTCTGGCCCAATCTCTATATTTACATACGGCCTCAATATAGGTGGAATGATTGCTGCATTACTATCTTTTAGTCACTAGTTTGTAAGGACTAGTGAAAAATTTGGCTGCTGTGATATGAGTCTTCACTCGGAAGCATTCAAGCTGTAAATCCTTGAAAGACATGAACATCGATCTTAGCAACTGGGATAGCAAGGCATACATCAACCAAGGTCGGTGAACCAACAACCAGATCCACAAACGTCACCTCTTTCTGAAGACCAGGTTTAACACAGATCTACACAGCTGTTATCCATGCTTAACAAGTTGCTTCACTCCCCAAAGTTCTATGTTCCCCTGTCTGCATCACCAATCTGGTATTTTCATGGGTTACAATCCATTTTGAAATGTCAAGTATATGGCTAAATTAAACTAATCCTATTTAAAACTTTCTGTACCAGGTTTTTGAGAGATGCCAGCGGCTACGACGACTGGCCTTCTGGAAGAGGCATCTTCCACAACAACGACAAGACCTTCCTTGTGTGGGTGAACGAGGAGGACCATCTCCGTCTCATATCCATGCAGAAGGGCGGCGACTTGGGAGCCGTCTACAGAAGGCTGGTGGCGGTAAGCTATTTACGTAGGGTAGTCTAGTGCATAAAGCATTCGCTGAAGCCGAAGACCCAGTTCGATTCCCCACACGAGGTACAAAGTGTGAAACCCATTTCTAAAGTACCCACCTGCTGTGATATTGCTGAAAACTTGATGAATTGTGGTAAACCAAGTCGCTCGCTCGTCCTATCAGCTTTTCTTTGTTTGAATGGATGTCACAAATGAATCATTTTTGCACCCATCTCACAACTGCTATTATGTTTTTAGGCTATCAGGACAATGGAGGGAAGTGGTCTGTCATTTGCCAAAAAGAAAGGCCTGGGCAACTTGACCTTCTGCCCCTCCAACTTGGGCACAGCTCTCCGTGCCTCCGTGCACATGAAGATCCCCAATCTGGCCGCTCAGCCTGACTTCAAGGAATTCTGTGAGAAACTCCACATCCAACCAAGAGGTATTTATTATTATTTTGCGATATAAAACACATCATTTTGCTGTTGTCAAACATTATTTTGGTGACAAACCCAAACAAGAGGTTCATTAATACCTTTGGCTCGCTTTCCGAGTCAGACCGAACTGTGAAGATCCAGTTGAATGTCTTCAACCCATGCTAGTAAGAGGCCTTACAATGGATCACCTTTGTATAGATTGATGCTCAGTTTTAATCCCATCTTTTCAAATTATTAACAAACAGCTGTCATAGCTTGAGAATTGAAGAACTATTTTTATGGATAAAAAAACTTCTAGATGCTAAAACGGTGATGTAACAATTCAGAAGTCACAAATTGCAATAAAGAAGTTGCATATCCATATACATTAGTCCTCATCAGACCAGCTTGTAAATGCCATGTTAAGAAGCTTGATTGTTGCTGTAAAAAAAATTGTTTTGAAAAGCCAGAGGTGATTGGGAAGAATTTGTTTCATTTGCGAACAAGCCAAAACTATCAGTTGCCGGATTTAACGTAAAAGCGATTGATATCTTTTTGGGGTGGTTGGAAACGGGATTGAAATTGACCCAACGCAAGTTTTAAGGAAATTTAGTTAGAGGTATTAAAATTGTGTTTTTAGGCATCCACGGCGAGCACACGGAGAGCGTGGGCGGCGTCTACGACCTCTCCAACAAACGTCGTCTTGGTCTGACGGAGTTCGAGGCTGTCGATGAGATGCGGAAAGGCGTTGTGGCATGCCTGGAGAAAGAGAAAGAACTAGCAGCGGCCAAGAAGTAGACCTACCCAACTGACATTCCAATATGAATCGCCAACTTGTATATAAATATATCACTGAGTGCGTGTGAAGCTTGTATCTCGAAATAGTCTTACAGAAAGTCGAATCCTGAATATTCGGAAGAATTTCCCAAATAGGGATACCACTTCCGGCATCACAACGGCATTACACGGGATGTGGAAGAGCACGATGTTCCGTTGACATCAACACCGATGGTGATTTGGCCTTTGTACAGTTGGAGAACCTTGGTCAGTGCTTGTTAATGGATCACATTTAACTTGACTCCGGATGATATCTCAGAGCTGTAATACTTCAATACATCCAGACCGTCTTCGGTGTCTTTACCAAGTGCTAAATGTTCAGGTTTCCAGACCAGTTGGTTGACCAGTCTTGTCCACTCTTCTTCCATGGGACCAAATTCTGAGAGCGTTTTTCCATTCCAATGTGATTATCAACAAGGATTGTATTCATGCCGAGTATAAATTAACAATAAAACATTGTTATGTATGTTGTCTTTTTCTCATGTTTGCAACAGCAAAACATTCATTGTAATGACAAGTTAGTGTTGCAGCTTGTTCACCTTGACCAGATCAAGTGTATACTAACGAATTGCATGACCGTGTCACAGCTGGTTGGGTCTATTATTGTGAAGGGGTGCACCTTGTCAGTTTGATTGTCAACATTTCCAAACAGCCGAGACAAGGTCGCTGTTTCACATCTGTGTCGGGAAACCGTCAGCAATATCCTAACTGTCCTTAAAAATGAAGCTACAAACATATTGCTGTTGAACATAAAATAGAAAAAGTGATAATTGAACTTGGTGTAGAGTGACGGCGAGAGTGAATCGGATTGTGAAAGTAACTGACGTCTGTACGTTGTAAAGTTAGTAAACCAAACTAATGGCATGTGACTGTATAAACAACTCAATTAAAACATGAAATGATTGTTGTTTTTTCAGAAGTGTTTTCCGGGACAAGTTTTGTAACGAATCCATGCATGTTTTAAATGAACGTACCATTCTTTGCTCCCTATTTAATGAAGTTAACTCGACCTGCCGTTTGTGTCATTTGACCTCCCGGGTCATGCATATGTAGAGTAGCTCAGGTCAAGCTGAACAACCTGTAACTATTCGTGGTGGCCCACGTGTCCTGGTTTAGGTTAACATGTACCTTCTCTAACCACCAGCGGTGTGGTAGCCTTTTAGTTCATTCGATCATCACCCACGTGAACTGGGTTTGATCCCCTGGACAGGTACAGTGTTTGAAGCCTATTTCTAGGATGCCCTGCCACGGGAATAATGCTGAAAGTGTACTCAAAATTACACAGCCACATGTCTGCTTCCTCATACGTCAGGTTGTGATGTTTTAATTACTGTTAAACGTTGTGTTCAAAGAGTCCGAGGCCTATTGAATGGGCGATTTGGCAACAGCTCGCCATAATGTTGGCGAGTGAACTAAGGGAGGTAATCCCTTCCAATGTTGAGTCTTGAAACGCAAGACATTGTGCGCTAATATAATATTTTAACTATATCGTGCCATGCAACTAAAATATACTACAAACAAAATGTATGGGAAAAATTGCTCTCATCCTAAAATGAGACCCTAAAATTGGATAGCCATATATAAACTTAAACGTGGTGCTTCTGTCGTGGGCGCCTAACGGTTTGCGCTGTGGCATGGATAAGTTGCGATACTTCAATACTGTCATCTTTTAAATGAAATGTTGCCACAAGCTGCATGGGAAGTGTCATCCACATGCACTAAAGTACTGTCGGAAATGCTAGAAAAATGCTTTTTAGCCTTAATACTTTGATAAAGGTGATAAATGTACTATGTTGTCAATATATCAACTCGCCTATAGTGTACCTAATTTTTATTTCTATCGATTTAACATTCCCATGCATTTAAAGGGCAGTTTACAGGAGAGAATATGGTACCAAAACAACAACTTAGGACTTTTTCAGAGTTCAACAACAGATATCTGAAATAGTCTTTACATTTATGCTAATAATACAGGTGGTGTAAAAATATGAATCAACGGTTTTCTTTAACAAATAATTGTTGAATGTTTGTGTTACTTTATTTAACTATCGTTTCTATATTGAAGAAATATTAATATAAATGTTAAGTCTTGATAAATAAGTTTCCCGTCATGCATGCACATCTTTATCACAGCGTCCACTATGGCCAACTATTTGCAGTCAATTCTTGCAAAGGTTTATAAGTTTTTTGTGCTTGCAAAAGACAGAGGTAAACCTTTCATTAGTTTAGAAAGGGTTTATTACAGAACTTGTAGAGCTGTTGGTATGTCTTACCAACTAGTTTACAATATTGTAAACAGATCAGACAAGACAGGGACCGTCTCAAAAGCAAAACCGGGATGTAAAACCATCCTTGAAAACTTTGAGAAGGGAGTACTTAGACGGGCGGTCTACAAACTTGAGAAGAAGAATATATATATTTTAAAGAAACTACACCAGTGACTTCGTTAAATCTTTAATCCAATGTTCACAACTAGATTAAACTGATCGAATTACATCCATATTTTTGCAATGAAATATACTGTTGACTTTCAAAACATTTATTAAAACGTTGCACATTTCTACAATCAATCGATAAGATAACACAAGTGATAGGATTCTTTCCAATGTACAGTCATTCGTATGTTTATTTCAAAACAAACACACATACATACATACACAAATGATCCCATTACATAACCAATACGTATGCTATACGTACACATATTCAACATTTTGAAGAAAACATCTATTGAGATGACCCCTCCCCCCGAACGTGTGCTCAGGTGTCAATTTCACCTGTCGATATCGTTCATGCTGATGACGTAACACAGGCAGTTAATGTTTGTATCAAATAACGTCCAACTACCCGTTATTTTTGGCATTTTCATCAGTAAAACCACATTTTAGGGCATGTCTCAAAATTAATTCCCTCGGTCTACATTAGGTAGATGTTTCTTAAAGTGATATTTGTTATTTAAGTAACAGTAATACCTCTGAATTTTAAATATAAGTCAAAAAGCATTTTTCTAGCATTTCCGACAGTACTTTAGGCTGTTTGTACGTTTGAATCAAACATGGTGCTGGTGTTTCGGCACCCTTGTTTTTCGCTATTTTGGGCAATGATTCATTGCACTCAAACTCAACGAATATTGATTCAGTTGCTTCACTGCATGTTCTAACGTGTCGTTTAAAGTGCCCATTAAGCACACGGTTGCATTTACCTTAGAGTATAAATGACCTCACCCCGTTCAAGTTTATATATGACTGTCAAAGTTTAGGGTGTTCCCATACTTTTTGTTTGTAGTATATAATCATGGAAGCTAATGGCTTTATAACTCGTGTTTAACTCTGAAAACATCTGTCGAGATGGAATGGGTTATTCAGTGATATGTATTGTTGACCTAACTTAGTGTTCTTCAATTAATGTGAACACGTGGATATCTGCAACTTCAACGGTAAATCCTTTCAGTTCACCGATTTGAGGTGAGGTGAGGTGAAATTGGGTTTATCGTCGTGCTTGAGAATATTTCGCTCATATGACGACGTGCATGCGTGTGTATATGTATGTGCGGCTGCTTGTACTAGCCCAGACTTAAGCTGGTTTTATAGTGCTAGCCCACTGAGATACCATGCCGCAGTGAAGCATGAATACCCCACTCAGACACGTTATACTGACTCCGAGCCGACCAGTCCTTGTTGTACCCATTAATGCCGAGCGCCAGGCAGGGACCAACAAGTACCATATTTTAACGTCTTTTGGTATGACGCGGTCGGGGATCGAACCCGCGACCTTCCGCTCTCCGGGCGGACGCTCTAACCACTACACCACGGAGGCGGTTCCGATTTGAGACTGATGCTACAAAAGAAGCCAGGTAAAATATCCAAGTGATTCTTTTGTTGTTTTATTTTGGCTATAGTGGCGGATGTGGTAGTCTAGTGGTTAAAGCGTTGGCTCGTCACGCCGAAGACCCTGGTTCGAATCCCCACATGGGTACAATGAGTGAAGCCCATTTCTGGTGTCCCCCGCCGTGATATTGCTGGAATATTGCTAAAAGCGGCGTAAAACCAAACGCAGTCAGTCTAATGGTTAAAACGCTCGCTCGTCACGCCGATGACCAGGGTTCGATTCCCCATATGGGTGCAATGCGTGAAACCTATTCTCTGCCTTGATATTGCTAAAGGTTAAACTCACTCACCTCACTCGTTAATACAGCAGAAAGTGGTCTATACATATGTAGGGATTTTATTCTGCGTGTACTCCTTTATAGAGCTAACCAGATATACCATGCCATGTTTCAACACAGAAACACCACGCAGGCTCAGTATATTGGCACTGACCCCACCAGTCCAAGTTTGACTTGTTACACCACGGCCACGGAGGTGTCTGAAATATGGTATAAGTGTAGTTCCATGTCACTGAAATGTTTGTCTCCCAGAAAAGCGGCGACAGAAATCGTGGGGTACCAGAGTTTACTGTGGATGGATAGATAACTAGATGTCTCACTCGGTATAAGCGTTACAGAGTTATCTCCCTTTACTCAAATCCTTTGACAATCTTTGTTCCCGTACATGTATAGTCCGTTTGGCTCAAAAAGTGGACCGATGAATTGCAATCTGACTCGAAAACTCATAAACATATAACACTCAATGAAACGCTGATCATAATCAAAACATCAGACCAACTCTATGAGATTTGTTTGCAGAATTTATGTAATAAGATTTAAAAAGTTGTTAAACAAACTATCATTAAAATATTGACACAGTTCACTATTTTTACGAGGAGGAGTGCAGAGGAAGGGACAGCCAGGTGTTAGAGAAGCACGTGCACAAATGCCGACAAAGTTAATGATTCATTAACCTGTGCTGTGCCGTCTCCATCCTTTCTCGCACACCTGGCTGTCCCTTTCTCTGCACTCCTCCCTCGTGCAAAATAGAACTGTCAATATTTTAATGATAGTTTGTTAAACAACTTTTTTAATTTTAGGACATAAATTCTGCACAAATCATCAGAGTTGGTCTGATGTTTTGATTATGATCAGCGTTTCATTGAGTGTTATATGTTTATTAGTTTTCGAGTCAGATTGCAATTCATCGGTCCGCTTTTGAGCCAAACGCACTATAGATGGTCTCACTCGGTATAAGCGTTACAGAGTTATCTCCCTTTACTCAAATCCTTTTACAATCTTTGTTCCCGTACATGTATAGTCAGTTTCATTGAAGTCGCGGAGCTTTTCTCAGTTCTTTCGTAAGAAACCACACCAGCCCTGACTGTTTTGCGAGACATCGAGACGCGTGTGCCAGGAGTAGATTAGAACAGCCTTTCAATTACACTTTACCAGTGAAGATCCGCGTGAGAATTGATCTTCAGTTACCCGTGCTTGTCGTAAGAGGCGACTAACAGGATCGGGTGCTCAAGATGGCTGACTTCGTTAACACGTCATTGTATCCAAACTGCGCAGATCGATGCTCATGCTGTTGGAACACT